TGAAACTTCCATATGCATCATCTTGTAGGCTGCTGCACTATTGAGTTCAATAGCAAGCCTTGGTGCAACTTGCAAACTTCTCTGCTTGCAAGGAGGAGTGATCTTGATGTTTGTTTCTCTCCCTTTCATAACAGCTCTCTGTGCCACAGCAGCTATTTGCATCACATTCCAAAATAAGCAACAGTGAAGAAAAAAAAAAATCTTGTTATCTCTAAAGGTCTGCTGAATACTCCAAAGAGATGTAGAAAATAGTGTGAATATTGTAAAAAAGATTGTAAAATTATTCTTCTCTGAGGTAGGGCGACAAAATGAAGGTGAAGCTGTGTATGTGAGTATTATGGAGAATTTTGAAACAGTTTTTGTTGTCTGTATATTAGGCAAGATTTCTTCCATCATCACTGAAATACAGAGTATAGGGAGTGGATTTCATCATTTGGTTCAAGATAAAAGATACGTAAGAAATGTGATTTTCTCTCTTTCTTTCTTTTTACAATGCCGTTCTTGCCAACATACTAATTGTCATGTTTTTGGATGACCCAAAGGAAAATGTCATGTTTCCTTTTCACTTCTTTCAGAATAACTTTGGTGCAATATGAAGAGTAAAAAAATTAAAAACAAAGGAACTTGGTTGTGCACATATTTTATTCCTCCGTAAAAGCCAATAATGAGTTCTACCTCTTATTCATAATAGTTTGTTTCAGGTAGTTATAATATTATTGTTGTTCCTATTAATGTTATTCTTGTTATTTATTAATTATCATTATTATTATTATTATTTGTATTATCATTATTTTTAATGTTGTCACTTGTTAATCCTATCATAGTTGTTGATATGGCTGCTTTCCCCTAAAGTTTATTGGGCCAAGCGAAAAGAGTGTTGAGGTTCCTGTAAGTCAACACATAAATTTTAAGGGCTTTTCTAAACAAAGAATTTGTATGATTATTGTTTGAATCTTAATTGCTATTAGACAATGTGATGTCTTTTTGCTTTTCGCTGGGAAGATAAGAATGTGAGAAAGAAAAGACTTATTGCGTTAATTATTTGCAGAATTCAAATTTTTTAGAAAAAAGTTCCGCCTACCATGCCTTGTAACTGTTACGGGAATCTCAACCTTTTATTTCCCCTTAACCTTTTCATCCCTTCAGAGACATGATTTTCTTTTTATGCCTGCAGTTTGTCTTGCCTGAAGTGACTGTTGGAATTGATTGATTTTCTTAAAGATCATTCTACAGTATATTGTGTGTGAGTACTCATAAGCCATAAGAAAATGCTTATTGAAGTGAG